AGAAAACCCGAATGCACGGAAAGTGCATTGGAATATTTGCGAAAAACCTCTGCAAAGTTACAACGTATTTGTCTAACGTTATCAGTTTCTAAGACGGGAAAATTTCTTACTCATGAAAAAACAGAAGGACAATGCACTATACGAACTAAGAGAGAAAAACTGACTTTCAAATGTAGCAGACCTTACCGGCTTAAATTTGGCCATGACATGATAAAATTATTTATTAGTACTTCCCAAAAATTTCAACGCACTTTGCTTACAAACGGGTTTGCTCTCATTTCATTTTGACCTGACGACACCCGCAATAAAATGGTGAAACTTATTGCCTGAATACTACTACTACTATTACTACTACAGATAATAATAATAATAATAAAAAAAATAATAATAACAATATATATATATATATATATATATATATATATATATATATATATATATATATATATTTGGTTGAATAATCTAGACATATTATGCCTATTTTTATGTTAATCCTCTCAAATTCTCGGTCAATTTCATAATGTTATTAAACAGATTAAGAAAGACGACATAATTTTGGTCATTTCTTTTATTTTCCCAAGTAATTTCAATCTCATCCAATAACAACTTCAGAGGTGAATTGATAAGTCATTTAAAAAAAATCGAAGTTGAGTAATTTAAAAAATCAATAATAAATAAATATAAATTAAGTTGCCTCCGTTACATATTCTTAATTTTTAAATTGTCTATAATGGAGCGCGTTTCATGCGCATTTACAAAATAATCGCAACTATCAATTACAAGAAATTTCTCCTTAGCAATTCCCTTGAAAGAGACTAAAGGTAGTTGGGAAAATAAAAGAAATTGCCAAAACTACGACGTCTTTCTTAATCAATTTAATGAGAACATTAAGAAATTTATCCGTGAATTTGTGAGAATTAAAATACGTATGCTCTAATGAAAATAGGTTGCTTAAATATATTCACATACACAAACACACACAGGCACACACATACACAAACACACACAGGCACACACATACACACACACACACAGGCACACCCACACACACACACACACACACACACACACACACACACACACACACACATATATATATATATATATATATATATATATATATATATATATATATATATATATATATATTATAATAGTTTACAATAAAAACATTTTACATCGCTACAAAATGATATTCTGCTTCAGTACTAAGATTGACTTGCTCTGGTGATGGTAGATAAACTCCCCAAAATATGTAAGGATTTATTTTTAAATTTACCTAAAAAATCAATTTCAAGTTATTTTTCAAGTTATCTACCATCGCCCGGGGGAGGACAATCTTAGTACGGAAGCATGATAGCTTTTGTGTAGCGATGTAAAATGTTTTTTTTTTTTCTCGTAATCTATTATAATAAAAATATTAAAATAATATTTTGTTCTACTTTGTATTGAGCACTTTTTCAAAAAAATTAAATGCAACGAACTGTAGATTTTTACTCCGTTGTTCTTTCTCTCATTTGTATCTCTCTCTTTATATATATATATATATATATATATATATATATATATATATATATATATATATATATATAATGCAAGAAACGAGTCGACCATTTGTTTTGCCTCAAGTAAGCATAGAAATATACTTTAGTAAATATTTGCAATCTAAATTTACTGTGAGTCTTTGTATGATAATTATCGTGCGTCGCAGAGTTCCTCAATGTGTTACCCTTAGCCACGCTAGTAAAAGTTTAAGCTTATTTAATAACTCAAAATATCATTTGATCATGTAACTGAACGTAACTGATAAATCTGTCTTGAAGTCTTTTGTAATGATTCTATTCAAATATATTCTTCCGTGTAAATCTACATGAATATCTTCAAATAGAAACCTAACCACATACGCTAATATACTCTATATATAATCTATATATTTTATTACTACGCAAATGCCACATTCGCATATTATCCGTAACTCGAGCGCATATAGGCAAAATGAAATAATACGCATCGGATTATTTCTTTGTAGACCAGACGCTTATTGTCAGAAACATGGCTACTTTACAGAACCATACGTCGACGGAAAATCCGAAAAAGGTCAGGAAATCTTAGGAAATGGATGCCCTTTGCAGAAGAACAGGTGGCGCGGTCATGCAGACAAAAAAGTCAGTTTTTGAGCGTCATTTTCCTTTTCGAGAAACGGGCGCGGGAATGGTCGACTATTTGGTAAACTCGAAGAAATTCATTTCAATTACGTTCTTTGTAGCCGGTGAATGCAATATTCATGGGTGAACTGCTTATGATCGACACACGGTCACGTGACCACCGATTTTGTGACGCAGCCAAACGAACTGAACTTTGTCACAGCGTTTTAGTTCCAAATTGGAGACTCGTACGAGGCAAGTGGATGAAGATTGTGCACGCAAGCACTGTGTACATAGGCACGCATCAAATGAAACGAATCCCTTGTGTTGTTGAAAAGTTCGCGCTCCGACCAAGA